ATCTGACCATACATTGCCAGCAAAGGAAACGGTTGAAAAATCAACCCTCTGAGCAAAACAGGAATGTTTACTGAATCTTATAACTAACAAAAAAGGTAAGACATGATATTCAATTCAACAGTTTCTCCTTTTGAATGTACATGCTACTAAACACAGATCCTCCACCCAGTTTAACCTTTATCATGATTCTCCACCCCATTTAATCATCTTTACTTATGTTACTGTAGCAACGGATTAAATTGTTGTCTTTTGTATGTTCCTTAATTTTTCATGGAAAACACAACACCCAAATCTTTATCTGGGGGCGGCTGTGACTCAGAGGCAGAGCAGGTCATCTCCTAACCAGAAGATTCCCAGATTCTCTAGCCCAAATGTCGAGGTGTCCTTGAGCAAGACATTGAACAATGAACCAGTTGCTCCCAGTGATATCACCAGTGTGTGAATGTGAATGTGAATGTGAATGTGAATGGGTAAACCGGCAAATAGTGTGAAAGTGCTTTGAGTAATTAATGAATATCAGAACCTAGAATATAATAAAGGGAACAATAAGTGCATGGCTGTGATTGTGGCTGGAGACTTTAACCATGTGAAACTTAAAGCAGTGTTTCCCAAATTCCACAGATTCATTAATTTTCCAACCAGGGACAATAATGTTCTGGATCAAGTTTATTGTAATATCTCAGGAGTATATAAGGCTGTACTGTAGCAGCTCCACACCTGGGCATGTCAGATCAAAACTCTGTGGAGCTGATCCCAGCATATAAACCTCTGATCTGCAGGATAAAACCACTCACCAAAACAGTTAAGGTGTGGACGGAGTAGGCTTACAGGACTGTTTTGAGCATACTGATTGGGGGGTGTTCAAAGAGGGCTCAGACCTGGAGGCTTATACATCAGCTGTTCTGGACTATGTGCAGTTCTGTACTGATGCTGTCCTACCTATGAAGTCCATCTGGGTTTTTCCAAACCAGAAACCATGGTTGGACAGTACAGTGTCACCTCTGCTCAAGTCTCGGGACGCTGCCTTCAGATCAGGTGACAGGCTGGCTGTTGTGGAAAAAATATCTTTTAAAGCTCAGTGAGTGTAAAATAAATACTTAACATCAAATCTGAAAGCTATTACATATTTATTCCTGCAGGAAGGAGGTTTCTCTTAACAGAGTGTCTAATACAGTCTGTTACAGGGAAGCTCAATGAACAGAATGTGACAGCCCTTCTTATACTCACCCTACAACAAAGAAGACAGATGCTCAAACAGATAAGGGAAACAGGATACAATTCACATCAGGATACCAGCCCTTTGGTCCCAGGTCACATCTGGTTTGGCAACCAAAAGGCATACAACAGTTTACGACTATGCAATAAATGGTCTGGGGGGGTCACAACCACACAAATGACTGCATACAAGGACATGAAAGCCACAGCTAAAGAACTTAAGGGGTGCTATTATAAAAACTGCCACCACACTGGCCTATAGCAGGGCACGGAATGAACTAAAGAAGGCCATCTGACTGGGCAAACGCAGGTACAAAGAACACATTGAGGGGCACTTCATGAATAGCAACACACAGAGTATGTGGAGAGGCATCAAAACAATAACAGACTACAGAAGCAACAACCAGCAGGTCAGCCATGATCCCACCCTTCCTGACACTCAGAATAGTTTCTTTGCACGCTTCCATAC